CCCATCCCCCCACCTCATCCCACCCCATCCCATCTCATCCCATCCCACCCCACCTCATCCCATCCCATCTCATCCCACCCCATGCCACCCCATTCCATCCCATTCTCTGCTCAAGTTCCTGCTGCATTTTTCACTACCCAGCTTAGTGTGTAACATGGCCCTATCTTTGATATGTCCTCCTCCTTATTGCTTTTTCTCAAGTCCTGACTACATCACTTTCCTCCCTTGATCACTTCATCCTTGATCACTTCATCCTTCAGATCACCTTTATGAGCCCTTTTTGGATCACCATGTCCAAGGGAGCTCCCCTCATTTACTATCAAATGATTCGGCTTTGTTTTCATTCATCTTTTATATACCAAATATTTATTGAGTGCCTGTTCTGTGATGAAAAACATAATAACATCCCTGCCCTTCACAGTGGCTTCATCCCAGTGAGAGCGATAACAAGCTGGCCGTTACCTCTGCCCAACCCCGCACTGTAAGTGAGGGGAAAGAGCAGGGGCCCAGTGCTGTTTTTGTTCTCTGGACTGGTGACAAGGACTTTCAGAGGCCTGCTCATTCCTGCACTCTTCATACTCCTCAGTCAGGTCACCTCCACACCTGGGGAGGTGGTAAGGCAGAGCACTGAGGGCACGGCCACGCCGCTCCGCCCTCCAGACACTCACTGTTATCTGCTCTGTGCTCCCTTTTCTCATCTGTAAAATGGAGTAGTCTTATCCGTCTCACAAGTTTCTTGAGTGAATTAATTATGGAAGTGCTTGACAAATACAGCCTTGTCCAAAAGCTTCTAGTTTTGTTTGTAATAATGAAAATAATTTCCATCTTCACCCTTGGGTGCCTGAGCTCCAAACTGGCATTTCTGGTAACTGGGTACGCATTTCCATGTTGCTCACAGAATGACTGTTTTCATCTTCCAACAAACCTAATTTCCCTGCCTATGTCCATGCCTTGGGGGTGGACGTGCATCCTTCCCTTCAGGTTGTAAATCCAGCCATTCCAACGTCACATCCGTCACATCCGTTTTCATTTGTTAAATCTCTGGATTTAGCTGTTCTTTCCCACCTATTTGCAAGCCACTGTCTAAATTGAAGTCTTCACCTCCTGTCTCCTCAAGGCTGACTTCTAAGTATCTGCACCTATAGCCCATCAGGCTCTTTCTTCCAAACCAGATAAAGTCCTGCCATTGTTTGATCTGTTTATCATATCTTTGTCTTGCTCAAGAGTTTTGAGAGATACCGCTTTATTATCTACGTGATAGATTTAAAATCCATTCATGTATTATTTAAAGTTTGTCATAATTTGACCTCAGTCTATTTTTCACATTTGATCTCCTGTCGTTTCTCTTTCTGCTAGACGGATGCCTTTCCTCCCTTGTCCCTCAGCTATACTTTCCAGCCCCCTCTGCTTACTTGTTCATGTGTCTTGTTTGACTAAAATGTTCTTTTCTGTTTATTCATGATGTCTTCACTGTTTAGTTTTCTGTATGAGTCTCTGAATTTTTCAGGTGTCCTGAATTTTTATCTTTGTTTCTGCTTTGAAATTGTGTTCCATTTTGCTATTTACTTGCCTATCAATGCCTTCCCAGAATTTATGGTATTTTTTCATAAAACCACAGGACTATCCCTTAGTAGAAATTTACTTTAGTACAAAGGTTAAGTTGTCATTGGTATCTGGAATTTTGTTTTAAATTGTGCTTTTTCTAAGCATGCATAGAAGGGCCCCTTGCCTGGGAAAATGGGTTAAGAAGTGCTCATAAGTGGAACATTGGCTCACTGATCTTGCCTCACTGACTTTGAAAGAAACAAGAACTTAGTTATAGTTTATCAGACTATAATATATAAATACTTAGCCTAGTGAAACAACTGGAATTTATACAAGACTTGTTGCTGGAGCGAATAACAAAATAAAGCCAACTTAAATAAGTACTAGATGTCATTTGAGGTGTTGTCAAGGTTGCTGAGCTTTCCTCTTCTGTTCCCTAAGAACTTGACTCTGTTTTCTTGTTCATTAGATATATGCAGCACTGAATAATATTTGATTTGTCTCTGATGGCCGCACTTCATTTTGCTTCTGTACTAATGCATGCTTTTGTTTTTCCACAGTACTTTGGGAGTTTACTTGTCATTTTCTGTGTAGAGCTGGCTTGTGGAGTTTGGACATACGAGCAGGAACTTATGGTGAGCTCGAAGTGGACTCTAATCACAATCTAATCCAGTACAACTGTTTGATCATATGCTTTAGAAGAGTTTATTTTTTTCCCATAATTTTGTTGAGAGACAAATAGCAGTGAGACAGTTTCAAATCAAATTGGTAAGACAGTTTCAATAATTAACACATTGCATACTCTCTTCCTAGTGGTTATTTGCTGTACAAGATGCAGACATGATATCTTATTTACAAACACTATTAGAACAAATCCTTCTATTCATTAAGAGAATGTAACTATATATCTATCCTAACCATTTTGAATACACAGATACAAAATGGACATTCATCTGTATCCCCTTTCTTGTTTAGTTCCATCATTTGAATATTATAGGTGTGTTAACTCAGCAAAATATTCTAAAAGAGTTCAGTAGTCCATAATAGCATTGGGTCTTCCTCTTGACTGGCAGTGTCAGAAATTGTTGACCTGAGTCCCCTACAGCTCAACACAACATTTAGAAGAATTTAGACACATGATTGTTGATTTAAATGTTTAGGCTATATGATAACAATGAATAGTCCAAATACTTTGAAAAATAACATTTTCTTTTGTGTGTTTAAAGCACATTTCTAAGCCATCATTTGGTATATGATGATCTATGTCTTTAATTCTGCAGACTGCTTAGATGTGAATACCACAGACTAAAACTAATACATCATCTAAAATAGTTTTACCACCTTCTGAGTTAAGACTAGGCAAGATTTGCATGTGCAGCGTGTCTCTGTGAATGCTTGCACTTCTCCCTGAAGCCTGATAAGATGCTGACGGCAGCAGAAGCCACTGACCAGGAAGCCTGCATCTCCTGTGTGCAGACGCTGGTCCATGTTCCACTTTCAGCAGAATGTGTTTAGGAGTGTGGAATGTTTACTGCAATCTGGAAACATCCTCACAGTGTGAGGTTTGGCTACTTGAAGACAGTTCTCCAGCATGTTTTTCTCCTTTATTTCAGCCGTTGCAACCACTGGAACAACTTTCATAGCTGTGAGAGCAAATGTGGATAGGGAAATTTCTTAATCTTAAGATTGTACTGCTCACATCTGGCTGGCCACTTGGCTTCACCCTTGCTCACACTGAGTATTACTTTGTTTGCTCACTTGTGTGGTGAAAGTCAGTGCATTTATGACCAGTGAGGTGGACGGCCTCTGCATGTCCGTGAATTCTGGCTGCTCTATGGAGGCAGGCCAGATTTTCCCAGTGTAAGCATTGTAGAATAATTGTCTCACTAAAATGGTGTTTCAACATGCAGGGCTCAGACCATCTGCAGTAGGAGTTACGAGGGGTGATTATTAATAATGTGCATTCCGGGGCTCCAGCCTTCATGTGCTAAATCAGAATAGAGGGAAACTGGGCAGGGGGCAAGGCCTGGCCATCAGCATCGGAGACAAGATCTCCAGTGAGTTTTAAACATTTTAAAATGCAAGAACCTTAAAAAAGCGTGGGTAATTATGTCGTATTTGTTTTGGAGAGAATAGGTGCATTGGGCAGTTGTGTAATAAAACTGAAGTCATTTCTGGCACGGATGCGGTTGTTAAAGATTTTATGGTGAATCCGCTACTGTTTTGTGAGGCTGTTTTGAATGCTAAGTGGCACCTTCAGACTAGAGCGTGCTGTGCGCGCTGCAGCCACACGCCACTGCTGCTCAGGCACCTTCCCTGCATGTCCCTGTGGAGGCTCTGGGGCCTCCAGTGTGTGCAAATGCCCAGAGAGAAGAGAGAACTGATGTGACGTTCAGAAGTCGGGGCAGGTTCGAAATGCACTCATGCAGGTTAAGAATGTGCTTCAAAATAAAATCTCCCATTGTAATAGCGATTCTCTTATTGTATTTGAGAGTGACATTTTCACACCAATGCTAGAAAATTTGTGTGTTTAAGAAAGAAAAAAAGTTGGGAACTCTGTTTCTGAGTGTTAGCGATAAAAGGGTTGTCTCTGTTTAAGTTTTTCTGTTTTTGAATAATAAAGTTACATCCCTGACAATGAAGCAACTGAGAGTAAATTCTAGAACTAATTTTTGATCCCCTTACCTGAGCTTTTGACTGTGTTCTGTTCGGTAAGTCAAAGGTTTTAGAAATGAGTTCACTTTCTGAGAATTTTTTAAATGGATTATGTAACGCATTTGCCGTATATATGATAAATCTCATTAGAGCAGGGCTAAAGGGATGAACGTAAGGTGTTTGAAAGGGATTGTTTTGGGCTCTAATATAATTGTAGGAAACCCAAGTAAACTGACGAGCATGGCTGTTGGCTCAGTTGCAGGCGGCCACACACGGCTCCTGAGTGGGGCTGCATGCAGGGTACACGCCGTTGGCTCGGCTGAGGGCACACATCATGTTTGGCTATGTAAATCTTCCCTGTTCCATTACCAGGGGAGAGTAAGAGCTGTTTAAAAATGAAATGTGGAAAGCAGTTTATTTTTTTAATTGCTCACATTTTTTATGGTTTCTGCACTAATAACAGTGTGAATGAAAAGTGCTATTAAAGTTTATTATCTGCCAAAGTTTTCAGGGCCCAGGCTTTGCATAGACTGGGCTTTGTGCTCCTGGCGGTGGAACGTAAGGAAGCAGGCAGAGTGCGTTACGTTACAGCCAGCTTGCAGGAGCTCGTGCCAGAGTCTCAGTGGTCTCCTGTTTTCTTGCCACATTTGGTCTCAGATTGATTGTGGTCACAGTGAAGAAACAAACCATATTTATTTTGGAGAGAAAAACTTTTTAAAAGATTGTTATATTAACTAAGTGAAGAGATGACATCAATCAATCTACTTTTATATTCTTTTTGTTGGCGGTACATGGTCATTTCCTATTTTCTTTCTCTAGATAAAATTTGTCAATAATGGTGATTCACTTAAATTCCATTTATTTTGGGCCCCAAATAATTTGCAATAATACTAATTTATACTGGGTAGCTGGGACTTTGGTTAGTTCCTTGAATTTTATTGAAGTCATATGAAAACAAAGTAGACCCAGCCAGACCATTATCTGGATACTAAAATTGCACACCCAGTATTTGCATATTTTATTTTGTGTTGCATATGTCCAAGTGATAAAAGAAATCATCAACAGAAAAATACTGAAAAATTTATGTGGTCAGTAATTTTTATACTACTACTGATAATACTTTTTTCATAAAAAGATTTCAAAGTTTTCCTAATTGAGTTTTATTAGTCTTACTTCTCATTTCTCCTTTTTTTTCCCCAGGGGAGCAGTTGAGTTCTTGGTTCTTATACCATTTTTTAAATTTACATTTTATAAATCTGAGCTTAATTTAGGTTGCAAGCAAGTATTAATTTAAAGAAGTGTTTGCCATGTAATACCCCAAAGATATGTGTGTCAGTAGAGGAATGATTGTATTTTAAAGCATGTGAGTGTGTCCTTTGGTGTGTGCATTTGTGGGTTGACATTTTGCTTCTTATCTCCAGGTTCCCGTACAATGGTCAGACATGGTAACTTTGAAAGCCAGAATGACAAATTATGGCTTGCCTAGGTATCGGTGGCTCACACATGCTTGGAATTTTTTTCAGAGAGAGGTAAGTGCTAAAAATTATAGGGACCAGAAAGAGAATAAGTATCATACTTCCAAACAGATGGTCAAAGATTTGCTTTTGTTCATTTTTCCTGTTTTTACTGGGCTCAAACCTGTGGCTTTCCTCACTGAACTTCCCCAGTGCCAGAGGCACAGGTGCAGGACACTGCAGCCTTTTGGAAGAGCATCCTCATTTGGACCTGTGGAGTCAGCACATAGATCTTTATCTTTTTAATATTCATATCTTTATTTTTAAAATAATTTTATTGAGAAACAAATATCAATGAGACAGTTTCACAACCAATAACTGGCACATTTGCAATAATTAATACATTGCACATTGTTGTCTTAGTGGTTATTCACTGTACAAGATGCAGACATGATATCTTGTCTCAAACACTATTAGAACAAACCTCTATATTCATTGAATTAAGAGAATGGAGCTGTATATCTATCCTATTTTGAGTATACAAAAGGGTCGTTCATTTCTATCCCACTTTTTTGTTTAGTTTTGTCAGAGATGGACATTCCATTGTCATTTAAATATTGTAGGTGCTTGAATTCAGCAGAATTTCCCAATATAGTCCAGTAGTGGATAGTCCATAATAGTAGTGGATTTTCCATAAGACTAGCAATGTCCAAAGTTGTTGACTTGAGTTTTTTACAGCTCAGCATATTAATGTGGCTTTACTTTTTATACTTCATTTTCTTACTTTTCTGCTGGATGGTTAAGACCAAGATAAAGAAAGACATATATAACAAGAAATGTAACTTTTGTATCTGATAAGATCAGTCAAATCCCCTCAGGATTTAACCTGAAACCCTATACTGCAGTTTGTAGATCTTTTGTGAATGTCAGCCATGTGGATGAGTCATGGCCATTGCTTGACCAGTTTGCTCTCTGTGAAAGTCTGAGAGAATGTTTTCTCTCCATATGACTCTCCTTAAGCACACTCTACATCGTTGATCACTTTCTTCTGTGGCCCCATAATCTCCTTGATCAGAAAATTTGGGACACAACTGAGTTACATAATATTACAGTATAGGTTCTCCCATGTCCTGAGTCGTCACTGACCTTGAAAGGGTAGGGCCAAAATGTTGGCTGTCCTTGCAGCCCTTCTTTTTCTCTGATTTTTGGTCTGCAAACTTAAGTTGTTAACCCTCCAGAAGAGAAGTTTATTATTACCCTACAACATATGCAGTTGGGTTTAAACTATCTATCTCAATATCAAACATCTTAGGCATAACATGGAACAGCTATTTGCCATCAAGTATTGATATGTTAAACTTTAAGTCCCTGCAGAATATGAAGACAAAAATTTAAGAAATAAAATATTTGAAAAAGATATGAATAAACAATTACATAATTTTCACAGAAATTAAGAAATCTAATGATATACAGCATTGTAGCAGGATTGTCCCATGACATTTTTTCCTGTCTCTTGTTTTCATTTATTTCCAGCCCCCCTTTTTTAAACAAACATTTACTTGACAGACAGTATGGCAGTAATTGGTTTGTCATGACAAGCAGTACATATTTAGAAGATCAGAATGGCAGGTATTCCAAGCATGACCCTACCATTACACATTGCTATCTTCAGTGCAGCTGCTTAGTTCACAGTTGTCAGCATATATAGTTAGTCAGGGTGAGAATCCTATTAGCTGCTAGTTTCAAAAACATGCTGCAGATTTTCAGGATCCTTGCCTTACCTATCTTGTGCATATAAATGCATGGATCTATATAGGTGTGAAATTTATGGTCAAGCAGACGTTGGCTCAAATTCTAGCTGTCATGCTTATTTTTTTTTTTTAAATGAATTTAGGACAGGGTATACAAGATCTCACTGTGTAGATTGGACTCATAGTGATTCTCCTGTTTTCAGCCTCCTAAGTGCTGGGATTACAGGTGTTTGTCACCATGCCCAGTCTCAATCACCATCTCAGTGCACCCTGGCGGGGGCGAGTGCTAGCACGAGGGCAAGGCAGGGATTGAAACCCGGCTGTTGTACTTTGCTTAAGCAGGTGCATTAGTCTGCTGAGCTATCTGGCTGGCCCCTCTCCTGCTTACTGTTGTACTTCTATAATTTACTTAACTTCCTTAAACCTCAGTTTACTCACTTGATAAATAGGATTAATAAAAGTCCCTATCTCCTCACAGTGTGGAGAAGATTAATATCAAATTTGAGTTTACATGTTTATTACTTAGTTTGTGGTTATTAATGATAATATCAAAATGTAGGGGCTTCCCCCCCAACTATATGGTATTGCACCCATCTATCTTAAATGAAGACTCTCTCTAGATGTTTAAAATCTGGTTACTTGAAGTTAATCATTGATCTTGCTTCAAAAGCAGCTCTTCTCCCAACCCACTTCCTTGTGGCTGTTGACATTCCCAGAGAGTCAAGTAACTCAGTTTCCTTTAATTTGTGTCAGGCTGTCAAGCTTGTGAGAATAAGTATCTTATCTTTTAGCCCATTCCCTGCTTGGTTCCCTTGTCACGTTGCTGGGCAAAGGTTCAAACCCAGGACAATCTCCAAATCTGGTATCTGTGTTACAGTTGTTGAGATGGTTAAAATTACCATGACAACACAGATTTCCTATTTATTTAAACACTTCCTGACTTTGTTTATTATATAATTAAACTAAAAGCAACCTAAAGAAAAAATAAGTAAAGCCTTAGGGAATTTTTAGTCACTTGTTCAGATATCCCCTATAACTCCCCAGAGCTCTTCTTTTTCTGGAATTTATGATATGAATCATTGTGTTAAAAACAAAGAGAGGTTTTGTGTTGTTTTGTTTCCGATGGGGACTCCACCTAGGTGGACAATGTGCAAGCACTGAGGTGACTGCTTCCTGTCTTCAGACTTGTTTCCCTTTTTTTTTTTGGAACCGGGGATTGAACTCAGGCCCTTGCGCTTGCCAGAGAAGCGCTTATTCCGCTGAGCCATCTCCCTGGCCCCTGTCCTCAGACTTGTTATGAGGTGTGTTCCCTTCTCCATGTCAGAGGGCTGCTGTATATTAAAGGTGCAAGGACCACCAGAGGAGGTGCTCATTACAGCTCGATTTTTTTTCATGCTTCTGGAGGCTGAGATCAAGGTGCAGGCAAGCTAGTGTCTCTGAGGCCTCTTTTTGGTCATCTTCTCCCTGTGTATTCCTTTGTCATCCCTCTTAAGTGTCTGTTTAAATTTCTCCTCCTTATAAGGACATAGGTTGAATTGAATTAAGGCCTACCCTAATGGCCTTAATTTTACTTAATTACCTCTATACAGACCCTACACAAACAGTGTCACATTCCAAAGTTCTAGAGGCTATGGATTTGGCTAGGGGAACACAATTCAGCCTGTAACAGTTTTCTTCCAACATAAATTACAGGATAGAAAGTCAATGTCTTAAGTTCTAATTGCTCTGATTTCTCATCATTGCTATTCCGTGCATATGCGTCAGTTTAATAGGTCTTGCTTAATTCCTTGTGCCTTTTTGTTTCTACTTTTTTTGTCATTTTGAGAGAGGGTTTCATTATGCAGTTTAGGCTGGCCTTGAACTCATTTTGTAGCCCAGGTTAGCCTTAATGTTGTATCAGTCCTCCTGTTTCAGCCTAGTGCAATTTATTAGAAACCTTTTTAAAAACTAATTTTTTAAAATGAGCCTCTTTGTTTTAACAAAGTAGTTGGATAACAGGATTTGGAGTAAATAGAATTTTTTTTTTTTTTTTTTTTTTTTTTGCGGAACCGGGGATTGAAGTCAGGCCCTTGCGCTTGCCAGGGAAGCGCTTATTCCACTGAGCCATCTCCCCCACCAATAGAATTTCTTGTATGTAAAGCCTTAGTTTATTCATCTATAAAATGGTAAGAGCTTAAATCTCTGTTAGCAAGAGTAGAGCTTTTTACAATGCAGTGTTAAAGGAGACAGAAAAATGACAAGGAGATGTTGACTGTAACCTACACAGCATTTTTGTAGCATGAAATTTACCTAAAGTAGAGTTTTCAGAAAAAGTTTCAATGTAAATTTACTATCTTTTATTCAACAAGAAAAACAACTACATAAATGAAAAATATTCCAGTGGCTTATTAAAATAAAAAAGTCTCACTGAATATAATATATATAAGTTATTTGAAAAAGTCATTTCTGTGGAGCACCTCATTTCCTGACAAAGCTAGATAAATGGGCTCTTCCATTGTAGATGGAATTCGAATGTTCCAAGAATTTCCCTTTTGTCATCTACATGAGAAGCACTTATGTCATCAGGAAATGAGAGAAATAGGCTTTCTCTGAGTGTGAGGATTTAAAGACAGACTTGGAAATGTAGTAGTTTAGGATTTTTAGTGAAATTTTTGTACTACCTGTATTTTTTTAAGGATTCTCACTGAGTTATGTAAAATATGTGATTTCAAATTATGTTTGACTTAAACTATGATGATCATATTATGCTTGTGGTGTGTTTAGAATTTTTACTTATGTTGTTTATGGTATTTTCATGGTTGTCAGGACAAGTTTATAAAAAGGAAAATACTAAAAATGTTTCAGATTCATCTCAAAATTATATTACTGAGGGCTGGCGAGATAGCTCAGTGGTCTAAAGCGCCTGCTTAGGCAAGCTTAGGCAAGCATGCAGGGACCTCGATCCCCAGCACCACATGCCATGCCAGCCCCGCCCCCAGGGTGGGCTGAGCTGACCATTAAAAAAAAAAAAAAGAAAAAAGAAAGAAAGGAAACATTAAAAAAATTGAAAAAAAATTATATTACTAAGATTTTAGTACTTATCACTTACAATACTCTTAAGATGATTTTTTCTTTTTATTTATAAGAAATCAAAATATCTTAAGTAAATTTTATTGTTTTTGCATGAGATGATTGGTATTCTTCAAAGTTGATTGTAGTTAAACCTTGAAATGGAGGTGGATTGTGATAATTTATTATGCAATGTTAATCTCACACACTGATTCACCTCTTGGACTACATAATTTGCATAGCAAGCCTCTTGGCAGAGGACTACTCAGCTATTGCCCATACTCCTCACCTTTGACGATATGAAAGAGTCGTCCTTTTTTCAAGGGTGAAAAGTTTTTTATGTTAGCTAATTATACTGAATCTAATCTGTACATATCTTTAAGCAGTGGTTTTTTTCTTTTCTTTTTTTTTTTTTTTTTTTTTTTTGCGAGACTGGGGTTTGAACTCAGGACCCTGCACATGCCAGGCAAGCACTTATTCTACTGAGTTACCTCCCCAGCCCCTAAGCAATGTTTCTAAACCTGTATCAGAGAAAGCTTTTGCCTCTCTTTGGTGAAATGAGACACACAAGAACATATAGTTCTCTTATATATAATTTAAGAGCCAAAATATATTTTTGGTTAAATCCAACTTCACTCAAGCTAAAGGCACTCATTGTTTTCCAGTGTTATAATGATAGGATATGGTCATTTATTTCAGGAACATCTCTCTGTTGAATGAAAACTCACTGCTGAAAGCTATTTCTCTCTCAAGGTTTTGGCAATTTTACTGGCTAAGGAATTTTGTGATATGTGCTTTGATCAACAAATCTTTCTAGATAGATTACAGGAATGTTTAATAATGTATTTGAATTTGCTGAGCAGTTTAACCCAGTAATATCCATACTGATTGATGGGCCATTCTCTATTGTCCAGAAGTTAATAGTAAAGACTTCAGCTATTGGTTTTGTTGGAGGGTGTGCTAAATCTGTTACTCTGTGACCAACTCTGGAGGCTATTAAAGGGGAGTGAGACTCAGTTCTACGTGGTTTATTTTTATGTGCTATGGGCACGGTTGCTCAGAACTGTTCCATTATGGAGAGGTTAGCCACGATGTGCCTCTCCGACACTGCCAGTATCAACACAGAATGTACACATATCATTAGGTGATGAAAGAAGTAAGTTTGGCTCTGAGAACAAAAATTTTAAAAATCTAATGCCTAATCTCCCATAAGTTAAAAAATATTGTTGTAATTTCTGAGCCTGACCAATAGTTCTTTTTCAGTTCAAGTGTTGTGGAGTGGTGTATTTTACCGACTGGCTGGAAATGACAGAGATGGACTGGCCTCCAGATTCCTGCTGTGTCAGGGAATTCCCAGGATGTTCCAAACAAGCCCACCAGGAAGATCTCAGTGACCTTTATCAAGAGGTAAGGCTAACTGCGGTCAACTTACCAGGGACAAAACTTCTGGCATAATTTCGAAAAATCAACAACGTGCCACCAAGGAAAATATTCTTTTCTGAACAAATCCAAAAGACCTTAAATTTCTTTTTTTCTGGTATAGGAGAAATATGATAAAGTTAATACTCAATATAAAGATCTTTGGAGAAAATAAGGTTTTAGAATTAATTTGGTTATGAACGATTGGGTGGAAGCAAGTTCTATTATTACTACCTAGGGACCTTTTGAAAACAAGTATATATGTCTTATATAGATGATTCTAGATATTTAAGAAGCACAAAATGTGGAGTTCCTGGTCAGGGTGCATATTCTGGGCCTCCACAGATTTTGAAGAAAACTCCCTCTCGGAAGAAAATACTGCGTGCTACTCTTCAGTTCCCCCTGCTGGTTGATGAGTAGAGACGCCGGTTTTGGTTGGCTAATGAAGACTGCTTATTCGGATGCACCAAGACGTTGAACGTATTTGTTGTGTACTCTGGAAGAATTTATCTGAATCACTAAATACTCTTTATTAGCAAAAGTTTTCTTCGTCCTCCATTTTCAGTGGAGAGTTTCACATTTTTAGCAGTGGAATCCTATTTTCAAATTAAAATATAAAATTGTACTGCTTAGTGTAATAGCCAATCTGTGTGGTTATTTCTATGAAAATTCAATCAAATTAAAATTTCACTTCATCAGTTGCACTAGCTACATTTATGGTGCTCAACAGTCACGTGTGACTACTGGCTGTTACACTGGACAGTGAAAATATGGGACACTTTCATCATTACAGAAAGTTTTATTGGGCAGTCTTGGTCTAGAATAAAAGGTCAAAATATAAATCAGATGGAAGGGAAACTGCTTAAGCTGCGGGCCTGGAACTGGTTCCCCAGATCAGGTACCTGGGTAACAGAAAGCACTATTGAAAACCCTGATTTAATATAAAGTAACTATTTATACAATTATGTGCTACCGTGAATGCAACTGTAAAATGAAACACATCAGAACTTACAAAACATACATTCTTACATATTTCAATATAATTACTTTAGGAAATTATATTATTTTCCCAAGAAATACTATCTTGCAAAACATTTTTAGATCATCTATCAGTCAGATAGTCAATTTATACTTGTGACTTAGTTCAAGTGCTATATTTAAATAAAGGAATGTTATATTACCTACCCACATGATCTATAGAACTCATGTCTTAGATGTGAATAACATATGGTTGTCAGAAAAATGTACTGGAGATGACAACAGTATGCCACATTTAAGAATGCTCACGCTAGCATGTTTTGGGCTCTGATCTGAAAGCGTGTCCCAAAGGAGAATGTTGCATATTTTTGGGAGTTTCCAAATTGTGCTAGCTTGCCAGGGCCACTCGTACAGAGTGCTGCAAGCTGAGTAGCTTCAACAGTAGAGATTTGTTGGCTTACAGTTCTGGAGGTTAGAAACTCAAAGCAGTGTGCCTGCGGTGCTCATTCCCTCTGAGAACTGTGAAGAAGAAGGTGTTGCAAGCTTCTCCCTAGCTTCTGGGGGCTGGCAGGTGGCTCTTGTGCTGCTTTCATCCTCAGATGAGCTTCCTCTAGTAGGTGTATGCGTCTACCTTCCCTTTTTATTAGAACACCACCTCACATTGGAGCTTATCTTTCTCCAGTATTACTTCATCCTAACTTCATTACATTTGCAACAACCTTATTTCTAAATAATATTATATTCTAAGGTGTGGAGGTTAGGATTCAAACATGAGTTTTGAGAAGACACAATCATAATAAGAATTATGAAGTAACTGAATAACTCATCTCCTTTACTTTAAAATACAATCAAAATGCTTACTTTCATTCCATATATCATACAAGCATTGTGTTTGAATATTATCTTTTGAATGTACGATGTGTGTAAATTTTGACTTCATTGAGAAGGAATACACAAGGTAGAAGTAATAGAACACAACCTTCCTGGGCCAATGCCTCCAGGTGCTCCCATGATTATGGAAGATCTTTTGCTGTAGGTGAAAGCCAGTACTGTGTTAGCTGGAGTTTATAATAGGATGGTCAGTTAACAGGTACAGCAAAATCACATTCATGCCATAAAGTAGGAAACAGCATTCAATATTTATAAGATAGTAAACAACAAAAACGTAATTGTAGATATTCAAATACATTACAACTTACTGTTAGGCATTAATAGAATAGGTGATTACAGTATAGATATGTCTAGACATGTAAATTGAAGCCATCAATTTCCCTAATGTGAACTCAAGCCATTTGTTGGCCTTCAGAAGTAGCAAGTCAATAATGAAAATTACTGTATTGCACAACATAATATAATTTCTACTTTAGTGATCAGTACTGATGATGTGATTATAACTCTGACTGGGATCATGAGGATGACAAAGATTGAGTTGGGGAAAACATCAGTTTCCTACGAGTCTGAATATGGACAAGTTCTCCTCACTTTATTCAGCTGAAAAGTGTTCATTTTAACATTTACACTCATTTTCTTGGAAGAAAGCATAATTCATTTTTAGAACTTTAGCTTGGATTATTTTCACAAATACTACTTTATAATGGGACACTTCAAAGATGTCTATAGTTGCTGAAATAAGCCAACTATTGTGTATGTGCAAATTGGTAGGCTAGAGTACTTTGAATATTTTCATATTTTGTTCAAAAGACCTTCATTAGCTGACTGGTGTTGTTAGTTATGAGATGTTCTTTAGATACAGACTTCTGGCCAATTAGGAAGTTCATTATCAGAATAATCTGTTTTTGCATTTTATAATTAATAACAGATGCTGATATTGGTAATTATACAGCACATGATTATATGCATAGTTGACTTACAAAAGTGGATCATTTAGTAGCTTTCTGGTATAAATTCAATTAAATCCATAATTTAAAAATAAGAATTAATTCCACTTTGCCCTAGGGAACATATGTTTTCCAACTGCTTTGGGACCACTGATGAGAAAGGTCTAAAAGAAGAAACAAGTGATTAACAGCTGGAAGTATTTGGGGTATTTGCTCTGAAATTAAAACCAGTGAAGACTGATATTTTAGGTGTCTTCACATTTTTCAAAGCTGCAATTCAGAGCAGGAACTAGACTTGTGCATTGTTGCTCTGAGGGCCAGAAGTTCCAGGAAGGAAATTTGGAATCAATAGAAGGAAGACCATGCTCATCAAAATCTGTCCAATTGTGTGACGGGTTATCTTGTAAACTAGTGAATGTCTCAGCACTAAAAGTATTAAAGTCAAGGTCAGATAACCATGTCATTGGTGGTATAGAATAGTTTTTTAAATTAAAAATGAACCTGGAATAGATGAATTTCAAGGTAACTTTTATCTTTCATATTCTGTAAACTCAGAGATAAGAATTGGCTTTCGTCCTACAATCTTTCTTTGGTAATCTAAAAATCAAGGAAATAAATCATTTTCAACCATCTGGTGGCCTGCCTGGTCCCTGACCCAATAATATTTTATGACACATTTTGAAACCTGTGAAAAATGACAGAACAGAAATAGAGCACCAGTTGCACATTTTAGAAACCTTCCCATCAGAAATGTTCCTTTCAGCATAGAACTCTTGCAGTGTTCATAAGAAACTACAATCTTATATAGAAATAGGGTTTTAAAATCACAGAATAGCCAGGCATGGTGGGGCACACTTGTAATCCCAGAATTCGGGAGACTGAGGCAGGAGAATTATTGTGAGTTCAAGACCAATCTGGGCTACAAAGTGAACTAAAAGCCAGCCTGAACTGCATAGTGAGACCCTGTCTCAAAAAGACAAAATAATAACAATGATAAAAATAAATAAATAATAAATAAATAAAATCACAGAATAACTGTGACTCTCAGTTTAGTTCCCTTCCATTCATTCATTCATCCAAAATGTTTTCTGATTATTTCCTAAATTTAACATGCTGTTCTGAATGCTGGGAATCCAGGGGAGAATGTCGCAGGTGAAAATATCTCTTCTCTGGCAATTTATATTCTAGTTAATGCCATAGACATTTGTAGGAAAAATACCATACTGCAGAGTAATAGCAGGAGGCCATAAGCACTTTAAAGACTGAATAGGCTAACAGGTGGACCTTGTTTGTAGGGAAGCTAACGGAAATGGAGAGGAAAAGAACATTTTAGAAGGGAGTAGTTGAACTGAGACCAGTGGATGAGGACAGAGCCAAATAAAGATCACAGAACAGTATTTTTAGCCTGTGGAACTACAAGTTCAAAGGTTCACCCTCCAGTGGTCCAGGCCCCGATTATTACCTGCTACTCTGTCCTTTGGAGCTGTCTGTGGAACCATGATCTCCAAATGCTGAGTGTCACATTTGACCTCAACCACGCATCAAACTCACTTTCACGTGGTAAAATGCAAGTCGGGAGGATTTCTCTTCTCTTGGCGCTGACTTTTCCACTGTACTCACCACTGAAGTATAATGTCTTGACTTGATCTGGACAAAAAGAAAAGAAAGTAGAAAGGAAACAGAAGGTATGTAGAAAACAAGTCTTTATATAGCAAGGATGACCAACTTGTTACCCGTGGACATGGGTCCTTCTTGGATGGACTTCAAAGGATAGGCGACACTGCCAAAATTCTTTTCAATATTTTAGATGCATTTGCCAAGGAGTAGGAGCCATAGCTTTCATCAGATCTTCTTGAGATTCAACTGTAGGGAGTAGTTGCAATTTTTATTTCTGAAGGGAACAAAGCATAAACAGCCCCTTGAAGGGACAGGGATGCCATTCTGCTTCTCTGTGTGCCACCTCAAGAAAAATAGATGAAAGTAAACAAGCTTACAACAACTCTACTTCAAATAGACCCACTCCAAATGTAAAGCAGTGTGGTACAGAAAGTCAAGCAAAATGTGCCTCTAGAGATACATTTCTTTGCTTTGTAGTCAGGAGAAAGAGTATTTCTAAAATATATTGGCTTCTTCTTCAGGAAAGTAATATTCTCAGAAGTTTATGTAAAGCCT